CACGGGGATGGAACAAGCCCTGCCCACTGCTATAAGCCCCAGCAGAAAACACACTGAAGCCAGGTCCTCAGTCACTTCAATGTTTCATTTGGGCTTCAAACTCTGAGGAAGCGGGCCCCACGAATCCCCTGTGGACAGGCATGGCACAATGCTGGCAGGCATGTGCCAGGCAGGGAGAGGGCAGGATGGCTGGTGGACCCTCAGAAAGACCCTGCCTGAGCTTTCCCTGTAGGGACTGAGCAGAGTGGAGAACTGAGCCCCCTAAAGTGAGCAGCACAGAGCCACGGGGGGCAGGGGCATCCCTGGCTGCATAGTGGGAAGGCAAAGGCCTGGCCTCCACAGGCACAGGGACGCCCAGCCAGGCCCGCTGTCTTCCTGTGTGAGGAGCGAGGCACCAGGGTATGCGGTGGGCAGGAAGCCACATCCTGAATGCCAAGGGGCAGCCCAGGCTGCTCCTGCCTCCCTCACCTGCAGTTCAGCTGCAGCTCCTTGGGGCCTCCACTGAGGAGGAGGCCAGTGGGTGCCTGCTGTGCGCACCTGCACTTCTGCTCCAAACCTAACAGGGGCAGGGCAGGTCCCCACGGGCAGTGTCCTGGGGACCACCCAACTGAGACACAACAGGCTCTGGCTCTGATGCACTTTAATGAGTGCCCTGCCCCTCTCCAACCAGGCCACTCCATAGGCGCCTGGCTCGCTGTCCCATGGGCTCTGGCTGACCACCCTCTAGTCACAGGAGCCATCCTTCCAGCCGTCGCGCCAGCGCTCATCCACTTTTGAGCAGTCGAAGTCAGGCTTGCCCAGCTTGCGGTTCACTTCATTGTGCAGGTGGCACAGCCACTGCGTGAAGCCTGCCCGAGTGCGGGTGTCTGGCTGGTTCCTGCACAGCCTGCATAGGGAGAGCATGTAAAGAATGGGAGGACGCAGCGGCTCCACTGCCCCTGCCAGTTCCCTGTCTGCTCCCAAGGAAAGACAACTGGGGCACTGCTGTGAGCTACGCCTGGGAGTGCCCTTATGCTCCAAGGGACAGGAATTCCCAGAACCGGGCTGACCCTGCAGCTCCCGGGTGTGATGAACTCCCAGGGTTGCTCAAACACCCACCTGGAGAGCTTGGCAAACTCCAACGAGGCCTCAAGGCAAGACATCACAGCACAGACCTGGCAAATTTATAAGCTTCTAACACCCAGGAAGCGGCATCCAGCGTCTCTGGCCTCAGGCAGAGTGTGACCTGGGTGGGGCTGGGCACAGCCTTGTAACTGAAAACTGGACTTGTTTCTTAGCACCTGAGGGAGGCCCTGGTGCCTCAGTTCAGCAAGAGACTTAATTCTAACTGCCCAGGCTTACAGCAACAATGGCAACTCTGCCCTAGACATCTGGTCTAGAAACACCCGCAAGGGCCAGTGCTGGCTCTTGGATGCCTCAGTGAGGAAGAGGTGACTCTTGGGGGCAAAAGCAGTGGATTTCCAAGATTTTAAAACCAGCAGTCCTGCTCTAGAAGTCAGGCAAAGTGGAGTCCTCCCTAACTTGCGGGGAGCCGTCTTCAGTGCCAGACAAGGCAGGGAAGCCCTTCCTGGAGTCCTGTGGCTGGGGCAGGAGCAGTACTCAGCAGCAGATCCCAACAGTCTGGCTTTTGAGACAAGACGAGGAGGCTCAGATGGCCCCAGGCCTCACCTGTTGGAGGTCCCTGCTCCTCAGCAAACTTCTGCCACCTCTGCATCCGTTTCTCTATGTTCCCCGCTATTACGTCAGCCAGGAGCCCCAGGCCCAGGCTGCAGTGCAAAGCTCCGCCGCGTGCAAACACATCTTACCTTTCCCTTAGGTCTTCAGCACACTCCTCACAGGGGTAAAACTTAGAAAATAAATGTATGAAGTGGGCCATGTCTTGCTGCTGTTCTGGGGTGGGCAGGTCGGGGTAGTAGGCGGCCAGGGTGTGGAGAACAGCCCAGCTGTGGCGGCCCAGTTCCTCGCGATCCGGCGGGCAGTCCTCCCTAAACTTGGTGTCCCGCTGCGGAAGCAGGCCAACCAAGAGTGAGTTCATTCTCCGAACAGAAGCGCCCAAAGCTCCCCCTTCTACGGCCCAGCCGGTGGCCCACTGGACTCCGGCCAAAGCCCTGCAGACGATCCAACCCACGCGCGGATGAAGGCTGTAAGGCCGGGCTTACCCGGGGGCAAGGTTCAGGGACAGGCAACCCCGGGGAGCTCTGCCGGGGCACCTGGGCGGGGGCAGGGGCAGGGGTTGCGCGGGGCTGGGAGAAGTCGGGCAGGGATCTGCACCTTCTGCTGCGTCCGCATCCACGTCTTGAAGTCCACGCAGGCCCGGCACGGCCGCCTCCGGGAGGCGTCCACGGCGACAGGAGACTCGGAGGTCGGCGC